TTCCTTTCCCTGGGAAGAAAAACATACAGAACATGGTTCAAGAAAGGAAGACCAGCTGGGTTAGGCTCTCTGGAAGCCCTTGTTTTTCCATTCCTTTCACCACCAAAGTCTCAGACAGTATTTAATTTGTTTTGCTCCTGTTCTTGACAAAGCTTTATTAAATAATAGTTTTATTTAGAAATAAATAAAAAATTGTATTAAGAAATAAGAGGGTTTTTATTTAATTACTTATTTTTTGGAGAGGTTTTTGCTATAGGGTATGTGCACTCGCCAGAAAGAGAGAGACAGAGAGATAGAAAGCAAGAAATCACCCCCCAGGGGGGATGGCCACGCCACAATCCCTTCTCTTTCACTCTCCTCTCAGGATCTTGGGCACGCATGGACGCGCACCCGGCGTTAGTTTAAGCCGCTGGGTCTGGGACTCGACCGCAGTCAACTACATGGGAGTCCAGCAACATAGCCATTATGCTAATTGCTGATGCCAAGAAATAATGGTTTTAAAGTAATAATTGTTTTTCGTGTTTCTAATACAAGTCACTGCCCATCAGTGTCTCCAGTCAGCCCAAGCTGAGTCTTTGAGCTAGTTTCACCGAACTTCAAAAGTAGTCTATCTCAAGCAAAGACACGGGTCAATTACTTTCCCATGTATAGCTTGGATGGCATGCATAATTGCCTCTTATTTTTTAAATATATGAATAATTTGAAGACCTTAATATTATCTTTGAAACATTAGATTAGTGAAAGCTATCCTAGTCAGTTGTAGTCACTTCAACTTTTTGTCTCTTCTTCCACCTCTGGCCCATCCTTTGGGTCTCCAGGACTTATTCTAGCTGAAGAGTATGAAGATACATCAGAAGAAGAGAAAGATTTTACTATTCCTTACATGGTCTATCTCCAGTCCAACTCAGAACCCTGTGTGGGATCCCTCATTCACCCTGAGTGGGTACTGACAGCTGCCCACTGCTCCCCACCGTAAGTACGCTTTTGTTTTCGGGAGCTGGGAGAGAACTATACAGATTGAAGTCATTCTGTTGGGCAAGCAGTAGCAGGTGGTGTGGTGGCTAAGGCACTGGACTCCCACATGGCCAACTGTGATTGGATTCTTGGACCTGGCAACTTGCTTCCTCACTTTCTCTCTCTCTCCTCAAATTAAAATAATTTCAACAACAATAAGTAAAATTAAATAATTATTTTAAAAAAAGAAGGTCAGTCTAGTGTGGCATCTTGATAAGTCTTAAAAGACATTAGAAGACCCAGGAAAAGAGAAACTCTTCCTCCCTATGGGGAGTAGAGTATACATTTGGGGGACCAACAGTTGGCATGGTGTTTAAGCTGCTGGACTCCCACGTGGCTAACCACTGTTTGGGTCTCAGAGCCAGCAGCTTGAAAATCACACCGGATACAAGCACATACGTGCCCAAATTCCAGGAGGAGAATGGAGAAGGGATTGCAGTGTGGCGCCATACCTTCTGGGGGGGTGATTTCTCACTTTCCCTCTCACTGTTTCTGTCTCTTTCTGTCAAGCACATGCACCCTATGGCAAAAAAAAAAAAAAAAAAAAAAAAAAAAAAAAAAAAAAAAAAAA